GTTCTTCCAATGTTAAACGTTCGCACAACTGTACGAACCACGCAACCGTCCAAATGATGAAAACAACAGAGGAACTCATCAACGACAACCATGCCGCCATTCAATCGTGGATGCAACTTCGCCCACTACGACCATGGACAGAGACCACGTGACATTTTCACCCGCCTACCAATCGCACCAGCCCACGTCCTCCCACCTTCGCCCTCCCCCAGCCCCTCCCTCCCGTCTGCACGGTCCTACATCAAAGCTAGGCGGTTTCGAAGTGCATCCCGCAACAAGTCCCCGTCGATGTTCGTGCTCCGTCGCCGCCCACCCGCGCCATTCCCCACGATGCCCAAGTCCACTCTACGTCGAACGCCGTTCGCATCCACCTCCCACAAAAAGTTCTCGTTGAAGTCGATCCCCGCGTCGAGGAGGATGTTGTGGAGAGTGCACACGGCCACGAATTGCTGTGGCAAGGTCTCCAGGTTCGTCTTGTGGGTGCGCAAAAGAAGAGACGCCACATGCACTTCAGTCGCCCGAATGCCCTCTCCACACATCCCCGCGCCACCTTCTGCCGCGTGTCGAAGCGCTCCTCGTCAGAACCTTGGTCGATTCCTCCGTACGGCTGCACGATCCATGGACAGGGAACTGGATAACCGTTGTCGCCCAGCAGGTAACCTCGGGTGACGACACCATGCGGCAGATTCTCTGGAGGTGCGTCGAACAGCTCGCCAGTTTTTGCACGCCTCCACAGCTGGGAATTGTGCAAGACACGGACGTCGTGCACACTTCCCGGGTATCCGACGTGGACGTCGAGGATCCGCAGATCCAAATCCACCACCATCTGCGCCTGCACGGAGAACTTTTGTTTTCGGTCGTAGTAGTTGGCTGAAGGTGCGCCGGCGGGCTTGTCAATGTAGATGTGTGTACAGTCGATTGCACCAAAGCAGTTTGGGAAACCTTTCTCACGGAAAGCGCGCAGAATTTGCGCACGTCTACAGCCCACTGGCCACTTTATCGCGTCGGGGTACGCCTGCAGCAGCGCCGAAGTGACGTCGCGGATGGCGTGCAGTCCAGTTGCCCTGCCGATGCCAAAGGCTGACGTGCCGCTCTCGTACGTCTCTCCGGATGCCCACCTGTACAACGCGAAAACGATCACGTGCTCCACTGGCAATGGCATCCTGTAGTGCGTGACCTTCTTCTCCACGTACGAGGCACACGGGGCTACGATTTGGGTGAACATGGCCATCGACATGTGCAACTTTTGCCGGTAGTACTCGTCCGTCGCGTCATCACTGGCACACAGGCGGAGGTCCTCCCATGTTCCGCCAGTCCGTCGTCTAATCCACCAACGCGGGGTCTGCCGTGGGAAAACGCCAAACGACAGCGCGACACACAACTAGATGACATCCTCACATGCGGCCACGCAATCCGGCGCTTTGGCAACGCTCTGCAACAACACTCTTCGTTTGCGGAGCTGCATCACCAAGTCGTGTGAGGACGACGACATGTCGCTCATCGTGTTGACGACGACGACAGTCACCACCATTGCCACCGCTTCGATCTCTTCTTCACGTAGACCGTGCCCGCAGCCGCGAACGTCCATCTCAGACAATCGTTCCGTGTCTACAGCGTGACGCCTGCCACAACCGCGGAAGACACGCCTGCTGATCAACCCTGGCGCAAGAGACCACACACACCGGAGCCGAAGATGCGCCCGCTGTTGTACGCTGCCACAGGAGATGACGCACGCCGGAGCCGAAGACGCGCTCGCTGCTCTACGCTTCCACATGACAGTACGCACGCCGGAGGTGAAGATGCGCCTTGCAGGAAGATGCGCCCGCTGCTCACAACTTGCGTAGACTCGAAAGATGGATACCCACGCCGAACGGTTCGCCAGCGCCGTCTTTTCTACGTCACACGCGTCGCCTGGCCGTCCTCCCCCCCCCCCCAACCTGCGTCCGCAAAAATTCGAATTTGAACTTTTGAAGTTCCGGGTGAGCGCGCTTTTCATCGACCCATCGTCACTCGCCTAAGGGCCACTGCAGTGTGTACAACGGACACCAGCCAGGAATGGATGAACATCGGTGGCGCGGCTGCAAATACGCATATGAAAAACGGTCGCGGGAGACCTTTTAGGACGAATCCTAAAAGATGATTTCTAGGATTGCGTGTAACGATGCCGCACGAAATCCTAAAAAACATTTAGTACTCGACCTAAAAATTTTAGGATTCTTTTAGGAGTGTCTAACGAGACCCATAGATCAATGAAGGATTAAGGATTGAGTTCACTCCAGGGTTGCCATGGACTTCGAGTCTCCCTCTTCACCCATTTAGTGGGCGCCAGATTCAACAAAACTTGGATAAAGCACTAAGCACTGGTATTCCTACTCCCACAACTCTTTTAAATTCTGAAATACTAAAATTTGCAGATACCGAAGGGCAGCAATTAAATCGTCTAGTCTATACCATACCAACTGAGAGGAACAAGACTCTTTGAGGAAGGTGAGAAAAAAACAGGGAAACTAAGAGAGGGAGGAGAGGGATAATGGGATCTAGGTATGTCCAATCATGAAAGACCAAGCCGTTATTCCTCCTTACGTCCTCCTGATTTTTTTTTTCCAGGGCCCCACTCCACTTTATTTCTCCCAACTTCCCCGTTAGCTCCCCCCGTCAGCAGCCACGGAATTTTTGAATGAAAAATGTCAGTCTGTATTTGTTGTTTTATGGATTCAGTGAACCCTGGCCCATCAAGCCTGGCCCTTTCCATTTCATACTTACATGGCGGGCGCCATAGGGCCCAGACTACAACTCTTTTTTTTTTTTTTTTTTTTTTTTTTTCAACCAAGGCTCCATTGTCTTCGTGGGGAGTAGCACGTGCTGAGAACCGGGCTCAGCGTCCCTTATGAGGAATCATACAGAAGACATGTGGAAAATGAACATAGGACAAAAAGAAAAGGGGATACCCCAGGTGCTGGAAACCGGGTCCAGCGTCCCATCGCCACCTGACCTACCTTCTTCTTCCCGGAAGACCCAAGACTGGGGGTTCGCCAGGGCCACTGGGGGGCACCATTGAGCCCTCCCATCCCCATGCCCACCTTCCATCCCATATCGTTGCCGAAAACCGGGTCCGACATCCCCTATGCCCTATCTATCCTGTAATTGCAGCATGCTATACCCACCAGTAAATCTTTCTGGAAGGTATAAAGTAGATAACTTGGAATACCCGAGACGGCAGATGAGGTAGGTCCACCGCTCTGACCGCCAGTGGTAAGTGTCCCCACCGTCTCAGCAGTTGCACTTCCAACGACTGATGGTGGGGCGGAAACAGGTCCACGAAGTCCTCTGCCGGTCGTAGGGGGATGTTCGGGCTGATCGCAGTCCAATCCTTAAAAACCAGACGATAGTCCCGAGGGGGAAGTATCTGACTCAAGGGGCGTACTGGCAAGAACGTTACCCTGAAGCAGACTCCCGTCTAACATGGTTCAATAATTGACTGTTTTTTCTAGCAACAAAATGCAATGAATTTTCCAAACAACTTGCTAA